AAAGGAGAGACAGACTGATTCGTCGTCGTCATTATTAATTAATTGCATCGTGGTGGTATATATGGGCTGGGCTCCTTATTGTTGTGTTGTTAGTAGTATAGGTGTGGGTATCCCCGTTATCGCTAGCTTGTGTGGTGGTTGATCCAACTAATCACTGGGCGTTACTGCTGTTTGCTTACTCGCTTGTACTTTCCAACCTTGCCATGTTCGGATATGCTGGCTATATATCTATTAGTATGATTGTTATCGCGTGTGAATTCCTGCTTTTTGTCTGTGGGTCATAGATAATTGTAAAATAGTGACGACGACGTCGATGAAATTGCGGGACATTTTCTGCTTGAAAGTCGTGTGATGATGAATGATGCATTTGAAAAACCAGTTGAGCAAGAATCAGTTGTTATAATAATGGGCAATGTGGGTCATGCGAATAAAAAAAAAGTGCAAGCGTAGTAGCTACATGTTCGAATAAATAAATGAAATTCACTAAAAATGAAAACCTATTAATGGATGATGGTAAAGAAATCGAGGAATTTCGAGCCATTAATGATTCATTTACTACTATCCCAACGTTCCTTTAGCGAAGAATAAAGGTGGTAATAATGATACAATAGTAATAGTTCATGATATTCCTGTACTTTTACCCCGAATAGTTCCTGGTGGACAGGCTACATTGACATACATTTTCGATGTCTGTATTAATATGTATCTGTTCTGTGTTGTATTAGAAATGGAAAAAGGATCGATGATGGAATAGAAATTCCTATATAAAATAAGACAGGCTGACAGTGGAGAGGAAGACAGAATCTAAAACTGTATTTTTTTTTCTTATTGTATTTTTCCCTTTCGTTCGTTTCGTCCATACGCACGTACGCAAAACGATGAATGGGTGAATTAATGAATAGTGCATTAGATTATATTATTGTTATCGTTATCGTTAGTTATCGTTTCGTTAGATACCGTTCCGTCATTTTATTATTAAACTGAATGACACCAGAACAGCAGCGGATAATATGCCACACTACACAATACACAATAACACACACACACACACACACACAAACAGGAAAAAACAGCAACATTCAACAAGATAAATGATGAAAATGATGAATATGATGAAAATCTTGTTCTACTTCTTATCCACTAGTGGATAGAAAATATATTAGACTCATACACACAGTGCCAAAGAGAAAAAAGCAATAAACTCTCACTCACACAACACTCGCAGGAACAACTGACCCGAACAAAAAAAATTTGCTGCTATAATCTTAACATAATCTCACACTTACATACTCTAACATATTCATAAACACACAAACAAAGAGGCTGAATTTTCTTTAGAGTTTTTATAATATTAATTATTAAGTTTTTTTCTCTATTGACATACATACACACACACACACACGGGGTCAGTCAATAAGTTTGTTTGTTAGTGTTAGTGTTAGTGTCAGTGTCAGTAGTTCAGTCAGAAAGCGAGTGTGTGTGTGAAAAACTTTTTATTTTTACTGGCCCCTCCTTCCTCTTTTGGTTTTTTACGTTGGTTTCTCCCATTTTGTAGTCTTCAAATTTCCCGTTTTACTTTTTCTTTGTTGTTTGTTCGCTTCCACTCTCGCTTCGTCGTCCTCTCCCGGGTTGCGACACAGTGAAATGGAGAACAACAATGTCACTTTAGTTGAAGAATCTATACATCACAAATCTCAGCAACCATCAACACCACCAACTAATACAACCACAACCACAACTAATAATACCAATACTAATACAACAACACAATCAACATCGTCTTTAGCCCAACAACAGACATCGCAGCACCACGCCCCTTCGGAACTGGCACACTCGACGTCTGCTCCAATTGCTGGGACAACCGTTAATTTGCCTCCTCCCTTAGCTCTCGGGCTTGGCCCTCGAAATAATGGTAATGCTACAATACTAAATAGCAGCGTGAACCTTGGTGAGTCCACAACTCACCACCATCTACATCACCAGCATCACTCACAACCTGGCCACAATTCTCGCCAACACCATGTTCACTCTGTCGGCTCACCTTCACCTTCACCACCACCACCTTTATCTTCGTCAAATACAACTTCTACCACCGCTCAGCAACATTCTTCTCATCATTCGCAACAGCAACCACCTCAATTTACTCAACAACCGATAACTTTTATATTCGAACGTTTTTGTCCAAATATATCTAACGGTCCACCTTCTATGCATTCTCCTACGTCTCCAATGGACATTATAGAAAATAACAATAGTAAATCACCCGAAATTTCGCCTCCTATTTCTTCTACCACTACCGCTACTGCGACGATGACTCACCAGTCACAAAATAATAATGTAACTACCACCACGTTTCATCATCATTCTTATCCTGCGTCATATCAAAATAGTCAAACCTCTGGTAACGGCAGCAGCAGCAGCAGCAGTAGTAGCAGCAGTAATGGAAGCGTCGTTTCGTCGAAAAAGAATAATTGCAATAGTAACAATAAAAAGAAACGAAAACAGCAGCATCAACATCCACAATTACAAACGCAGCCTCCAATCCAACAACATACTCCGCCACAATACTCTTACAAAACGCCGATGGATTCTCCGACCTCGATTCACACTCACGAAGATTCTCGATCGGAAGAAGATTACGGAGATAATATGTTGATTGATTCTGCGAGTAGATGTGAGGTATATTGGGTTGAATAACTTCTATGTTGAAATTTAAATTTCGGATCGACCAAAGATAATTCACTAATGTTTTTTTAATGACGTCTTTCTTATTATCTTTTTATGGAATTACGTATTGAATTTTGATTATCTTGTTTGTGTTCCTTTCAGGATTATGATCATCTAATGACACCTTTAGAATCTTTGAAAAGATTACTGATGCAATTCCCGGCAATGTCAACAACGCGTTTGAACACAATTCTACCAGTACTTCTTGATAATGATATAGACGATCCAGAAATTCTTCTTTTAATTGAAAATGAAAAATTTCTTCGAGATTTACGTGGAAAAAATGGATCTGAAATAAGTTTGGGAAATTGTCTATTACTTTGGCATGGGATACAGGAGTATCAGAGACAAAATGCCTCGAATACAACTGTGCACACGCCAAAATCTTATTCGTCCGCTTCATCCGCTTCTTACTCACCACCACCCTTAAATATACGACCCGACCTTGTGATACCTAGATCTAAGAGACCAAAATTAGAAGGTGATAAGGATGATAGCGCTTCTTCAACTGTGTCCTCCTCATCACAGGAGAATGATCATATCCCACTTTATCACAATAATCACCTTCTTCATAATCATCATCGTCATAATCATCATCAAGTAAACCATCATAAACAAAATTTGAGTCATCATCAAACTCATTTTAGTCAAGTAGCTAATAATACCACCAGTAATAGCATCAACAACAGCAACGGTAATAATAACAATAGTAATACGAAACAGCGCATTAAGGCGCCAAAATTAAGCATGTCAACAATAGAAGAAGTACATTCACGAGTGAATTGTGTTCTGCGTGTCGTAGAAGAGGAGAATGAAAGACGCAAGCAAATTAGCTTATCGCAGAATCCACCTGCTCAAGCTTCATTGAAATTTGAGGATTTTGTCGCAGAACTAAAACGTACCCATAAAATTCCTGTGGCATTTGGTACATTAAGAGATATGAGATTTGCGTATATTCTTAAAAAATTACATGAGGTAAAATATAAGGAATTATTAAGCTCGAATCGAGGTAACGTGACCGAATTTTATCGAACTTGTCAAGAGGTGTGCGAAGAGATGTTCAAGGAGGATGATTTGGAGGCTGCCCTACCGTGGTTGGAACTGAAAAGTAAATTGTACTATAAGCAGTGAATTTGTGTGTGCATGTGTATTTGAGTGTGTGTATGAATGGGTGTACGTATGAGTGTGTGCATTGATTATGTGGAGAAGAATGTGATTTAACTGAATATTTTGCAAAAGAAAGAATTGGATATATGGGCGGATGGATTGATAGGTTGGAAGGACTAATGTGCGTTTTTAAACAAATGAACAATTGGGCTCATTGATTTACAATCAATCAATCAATTATAATTATAATTATTATCTTTATTATTATTTTCTATACTTGTCGTCATCATTGGGTGCACGTACAGGGAAAAAAAATTTTTTATTATTTTTTTATTTCGGATTTTTTGATATTCATATTTTTTTCTTAACGGTAGAACAAGAAACGGACGATTTACTCGAAAAAAAATTATTTTTATTAT